AGCATTTTTGCGAGTTAACTGTAGATTTCAGGTATACACTACCCAGGATACTACAGGAATGATTAGAGCATTTTTGCAAGTTAACTGTAGATTTCAGGTATACACTACCCAGGATTCTACAGGAATGATTAGAGCACTTTTGCAAGTTAACTGTAGATTTTAGGTATACACTACCCAGGATACTAAAGCATTGATTAGAGCATTTTTACGAGTTAACTGTAGATTTCAGGTATACACTACCCAGGATACTACAGGTTAATACTATGCAACGCAGATAACAAAAGCTCAGGAAACAAGGGGACCCTGCATGACCCAGCGAGGCTACTTGTCTGCGAACATTTTTTGAGAAAAGAGCTGACTCTCTCGAGTGTTGAACTAGAATAGAATATTCCAGAATTATAATTTTAAACATCAAATGCTACTGATATAATCATTAAGTTTTCTTACCTGTCTGGAGTCTCTTCCACTGATGTCAATGATCTGGGCGCCAAACAAACGCGCGCGGTACACATTTCCCGCCACAAATAATTAAAAGCACTTTCATGAGACGGTGATCAAAATGCAAAAGCAAAATAGGAAAGCCGGCACCAAATTGCTAGAGGCTAGCGATCGTTTGTTGGGCGGCGTGTGATAGAGTGAAACTGATAAAATATCGAGAAATCTGGACAGAATCTTTCTGTAATACATTATCAAAAATTATGTGAAATACATCATCAGAGAACACGTGCGAAAAAAAATAATTTCCGCTTGATATTTTTTCTCGGTATTTTTCATCGACAAAAAACCGAAATATTAAAAATCACGACTTACCATCAGTTGCTCGGCTAAACAAAGCTAAACTTACCAAAGTCGATAACCAAGTAAGGATTTCCTACAGAAATAATTTGCCACTCTCGTTTACCAGTGTAGTGGTCGAACTTGACGTAGGTTAAAACGGATTCGTCTTACCGGCATCTTCCCGTTAAATTAAAGTAGATTTAACACTTGCCAGGAGTAATTAGAAATCTAGCCATTTTGCTCATAGCTTCGCAAATGCAACCAGCGTTATACGGTAAAGCGACAGAAACTTAAGCGAAATATTCACACGCGACAGTCGTGACAACCTCAGTAAATCTAACAAATGAAACAAGATACTGAGAGAAAAAAAGGGCTTCATTGATTGTTTCCGGCAGGCGGTGACAAGTAATGTACGAGATTAGTAGACCTCCTGGTCAGAATTTTTTTTGTAGCCTAAGCCCGTCATGCCTCCTCCTCCTCCTCCTCCTCCTCCTCATTTTTATGGTTTTCTCTCCTCCTCCTCCTCCGCCTCCTCATTTTGATTGTTCCCCCCTCCTCCACCTCCTCCTCCTCATTTCTATTGTTTTCCCTCCACCACCACCACCACATTTCTATTGTTTTCCCTCCACCACCACCACCACCACCACCCCATTTCTATTGTTTTCCCCCACCACCACCACATTTCTATTGT